GTATTGAGGGTGTGAATATTTATACATATATATAACCCTATATCGATCTCGATTAGTTATAGGTGATAAATAGAACCGTTAGGTGAACAAAACTATTATAGTATTTTGCAACATACAAGAGTAAATTATTAAAAAATTTAAAATCTTCTGGTTTACGTCTTGTGTCATTTTGAAATTTCATAAGCAAGATGTTGATTAACTTATAAACGGTTTTCATGCCTAAGCGCACAACACCAAACATCAAAGAATGGCAGCTAACGTTTGGATATTTCTACAGGGCAAATATTCGTTGTTTTTATTTTTCGCTGAACTTTGCTTTGCTGTAGCTTGTGACATCCACAACATTTCACATTTCCATTTCATTTGTTCACTCGCAGTTGATTTTGTGCGCTGACATTCTTTCATCTTAAGTGACTCCCGCGCACCCCAGGAGAGCAAATGTGTCATATTTCATAGCTTTCTTTCCTGTTTCCCTATTGTTTTCCGTGACCCATGTCTTCGATTGGCTTTATGGTATTTTATTGATAAAGTAATTGCTCTGTTCTTTCTCAAAGCCAGTGTATTGATAAGTATAAGCTATATACAGAATGCCTTATGTGTTTCATTTCGTTTGTGCCGTTGTTCGGCGTGAGCGTCTATTTAATGAGACAATTCATAGAGTCATAGTCTATTGGTCTCGTCGGCGTGGCTTTCTTTAACCGAAACCAATTGATTGTAATCAGATGTACCTAAATTATTGAAAACAAAATATTTTTAGATTTTAAGATTTGAGCAAAACAAGCGAACATACTTTTAGAAAAGTATATCTGCTTAATATATATATTCATTTACATTAATATAGTGTTTGTGTTTTCACAAAGCGTCTATAAAGTTGTTTACTTTTTCTCCGAATGACGGAAATTCCGCGTAAAACGTGATTTTTTATTGTCTTTGTCACAAGGGCTTTTGATATTATTGCGTAATATTCCTTGCTATAGAGTATCTACATTCGGTTTTCCTTGGCAATGCAATGAGATAATGCTACTAAATACTCAGATCTACATTTCATTTGCTCTTATTTTACTAGGCGTTCGCTCCCCTTATTTTAACATTAGGATGGAATCCGACCCTAAGCACATTTATGTTCCTTTAAATGTATGATGTTTGTCCCGAAATCTGTATTTTTCCTAATCAAAAACCATCTTTCCCTCATAGCAAAATACATAGCCAGATCATTCGACCCTTATTACCCATATACTTGTAGACTAGAGAGTAAAACAGCGTCTCATTTATATTTTATGCTTTGTTTTATTAATTAATTTCATTATGAATTATTGTATTCTCTTGATGTTTTACACATATATTTACTAATTCAATGTTGTATATGTTAATTTTATAGTTTAATAGTTACATAGTACTCCACTGCTAGTAATTTGTCTCACTTATTTGTAGAAATTTACAGCTAACAAAATAAATATGCATGTGTATGTGTGTATATTAGAATAGCAATAAATAATTTAATGTTAACATATGTACGTACATATATGTATAAAGAAAATGTCTGTAACACTTAAAAATATATGCACTTATCTCAGTAAATATTAATGAACGCATATTTGTACAACGAGCAGTGGAATTTTTCCGACTTCTTTGACTTATTCCACTTTTGAAATATTTGTGTCATTTTAGTGGCTGCTTTGCTTCTCAGATTAGTAAAGTTTAGTTATAAAAAGTACATTACAAAAATATCTACATACGTATACATACATATACATACTTATATATACTATGTATGTGTGTGTGTGTACACAGAAGCATAGCTTCGTACCTAAGGTACAACTCAAACAATTTGATTGAATGCGCTTTGTTCTCCTATTTATTCTTGCCTAACCGATTATACCGGTTATTTGGTTAGTTAAAGTGCGACTAGCATCACGCGATGAAAAGTGTTTATTTGTAATTACATAACATTTTCACATTAAATACTATTTAATAAATAAAGTTATGCTTCAATAGTGAAAGAGTGCCGCTTTAATTGTTCGGCTTCGCTTTGCGGAAAGCTCTTTGATTAGCGCTCATACCAACATCACTACTTTTTTTTCCAGTGTAAATATTTGTATAAATCATTGCTACTGTGAGCAAACACACACACTCACTGTGTGGCTCAGAGCTTTCTAAAAAACACTCGAATAATTAACTGTCAAATGTGTACATGAAAATACGAGTAAATAAATCATTGAGTAATTGATGGCGGTGCCGAGTTACACAATACGTTTGAAATTAATAAAGAAAAACAAAAAATTAAATTTATTAAATAAAGGGAGCACAACTTGCTTCTGTATATGCCAAATTATAATTATTATTTTTTATCTTATTTTCTGGAGGATTTCTTACTTTATTTATGTTTTCATTCTTTATTTATTTTTCGATCTGTCGTCACATAAATTATAAAACTGAGATGATATTTTAGAATTAGAGCACATAGTCATATTCTATTTCCGAATGGTTTTCCTGGAACCGGTAAAACATGTCACTGCTGAAACTTATTTCCAAAATTTTTTTTCAAAACGGGATTTTTTATTTAGCATTATTCAAAACTTTCACTTTATTTTTGAGTCACATGCCACAAAATTTAAAAAATTTTCGCACACACATATCCACATTTTCGTCGTTCGTTTGGCATCGCATTTGCTGGAATCAAGTTGCTGACTTATAAAGCGATTTGCAAGCCGTGCTTTGATGGCTACCCAGTCAACTTAATTCCAGGAATTGCAACGCAAACCTCTCGTTAATGGCTGGGATGTTTAAATCTACTTTTATTTTGCGATGTATTTGAAACACTTTGTACGAAAAAATCTGAGATGTTTGAATGAACATATTTTTCTTATTTCCAAATTCGACACATTTATTGCACTTGAGGTTTAATGAACGGATGGAAAGTATAATACAAAGCAGCGTTATCTTATTGTTTTCCAAAAATGTATACATAATGTTCCAAAGCTGTTAAACAGAGTGTAGAAATGTAAAAGTTGTTCGCTGTGTGTTTGTTGATTTTCACTTCGACATACTATAGCTCAAAAGGACCAGTTCATCGATTCAAATATTCGACGAGGAAAGAAGAGTTCGATGGGTTCTGGATATTGCAATTTTTTAGCAATTAGAGATGAAATAGCAAAGGGTATATTGAAATTGCCTCAGAGATAATGAGCGATCGTGGAATAGTTTTTCTTAACAAGCGGAATTCATATTAAAAAAGCTCTAAAACATTAGTCGGAAGAAGATGTCAAACAAAAATTTGTGTGAAAAAATAAACTAAGTGAAGATGCTAGCTATTAGGTCATATTAGGGTGGGAAGACTTTCAAGTGCCAGCATAACTTGCAGAAAAGGCAGCAGGGCACTCAGAAGAAAGGTTTTCAAAATTCATTTGGAAGTCACATTTACTACTTCTATTTACTTTGGTAATTGTCTTTCTTGTATTCTAATGATTTATATATTATTGCATTGTCATTGCTAGTTTAATGCTTTACCTCTCTGTTTGTGTTATTGTGGAACAACCGTTATTGCTTATTTGATTTCTTGCGATTTTGAAACGTTACTTTCAATATATTGGATCTAACAGAATTCCGAGTTTCTCCTTTACGTATTTTGTTGCGCGGCTTTGCCTTCGAAACATCGCCAACGGAGCAGTCTGTGGCGTTTATGTAAGTACATTTTTCTGTTGTCTAATTTTGAATATTTGAATGTGATTCTTTTAAAGTCCACACTTGAGATTGTTTCGACGGCTTGCTTCTAGTGCACATTCAGCATTTATGTGAGTGCGTACTTGAATTGCTTGAGATTTGTTTTTTCCATCGCTCGCGATTTTATTACTCTGAATTTTCACTAGAATTAATCTATTTATGGTTTCTGATTTCTATTTAGTACATTTTTGAATATTTCATTGTGATAGTTTTTCTTTGTTTTTTTTTCTTGTTTTTGTAATTGTTATATGCATACTTGCTATAATTGCCTAGTGTTCTCGTTTATATGTATGTTAATAATATTTAGCTAGCGTAAATTTTGTTAATTGTTATTAGTCTCTCTTTTTCACTTTTATAACTAGTTAGTTGGTACTAATACAAACAAACATATGTACAAACAAATTACACAAAAAATTTTGCCTAATGTTTATTGCTTTCGATTGTCACTAATTCAGTTTTTTACATTTCTCTTCCTACTTACATTCGTAAATGTTGGATATTTTATGCATCTTTTTCTTTTAATTTTTGATTTGCTTTTGTATTTTGTATTTATATAGTGATTACTGCTAGATAATATAAGTCTCCTAAGCATTTGTCTGCTTAACTTGGGCTTATATAAATTAATTTTTATTGCTGTTGTTGTCAACTTTATGTCTATGTGGTATTTTGAGAAATGTGTTAAGCCCATCATTATAATTTGATACAAGTTGATAGCTTTTAGTGAGCTTTTTAAATAAAATGTAAGATTTTATCTTAAAAAAAAAAAAAAAAAAAAAAAAATTACAATTTCGGTGCATTCGGTGCAGAATTCCCCTTCCTTCCATTAAAAATCACGCAAAGTTCTCTTCCCTGATGTGCTTTTTTGCGCGATCTTCACATCGTATGCATTAGTCGAAATTTAATTTACAAAAACTGAGTATTAGAACAGCTCTGGAAGCTTTGATTGATTCTTTAGTTGTATGGCAACTTCGGCCCATGAAGACCATTTGGATAGAAAACTTGAGAATAAATCAAAAATAAACGAAAGAATATGGGAAACCCTAAGCGCATGACTATCGATATTATCTCTAAAGGAAAACTTGGAAAATTAATAAATAAAATTATGAAATGTTGTTATCAAAAGTATGAGAGTTGAGCGAGTGAAATTGGCTTTAAAAATATTTAAAGTTTGCTGATTTATTTCGGGTTTCATTGCTCACAAATCGTTATATACGCAGTGAAAAAGTCTTATTCCTAGCAGTCATTAACTATAAACATTTTATAATATCAATTCAATGAAGTAATTTTGATTTGGCATTTGGTATATTCATCAAATATTTAAATGTGTTCCCATAGTTAACGTGCTAGATTTTGATTAAATGTTAAATATCGCACACCAGCACACACACGCACGCATCCGGACACTCCTCGATGTAATTTACATTTCCTCTTAGTTCACATTCTTTTTTAATTAGCTAATTAACATTGTTTGCAGTTCACTTAAATATGGATATTGCGTACGTATGTATGTATGCATCCACATCTACATCTATATGTAGTAAGTGTGTATGTAGGAATAATGTTTGATTATATTGTGTTGGCGAACAGGTGTGTAAGTAATTTTCTCATTCAAATAAAACCGTTTATTTGCGAAATGCTTCATTGTTTTTGTCCGTTTCGGCTTTTCGGCGTTGTTCATAATAATAATATTTAAAAATGTTTGCCACGAGCAAATTTGCTGCCGCTTTTTAGCTTTAAACACAATTGGAAAGCGTTTAAACCAACAAGGGCGAATGATCGAAAGTCTTTTGGGAGAAGGTGAGAATTAATTTCACACACTTTTGTGCGTCGCTTAATTGCAAGTGATTGCATAATGGTTTTTGTTTGCCAGTGCAATGCTTATTGAATAAAATATAAATTCTGTCGGAAAGTGCTCGCGATAACGGGTTTGTGGACGGTGTTCGGCCTTTTTTGCATGCGAACGTCGGCGTTGTTTGACGATTGATTTCCGCAAAAAAAGCTTTTGTCTGATTAAAATTTGCCAACGCAAGCGCCAGCTGCTGCCGCGCCTGGTGCTAATTCAGGTGCACATTTACTAATTAATTGGGCATCGGAGGCAAAAAACGTATATCTATGATATGGGCATATGTTGCACGGCGGCAAAGGGAAGCTCAACGGCCGCTCTCGCGGATTAATGTGCAACTGGAAAAAGCATTGTAAATTGCATTAATAATTATTGCGCTTAATGATTAAATGTTGCCAAAGCATGTGAGTATACCGACTATTTTATGAAAAAGTAATTTGATCCAAATGTGCTTTAATTCCGATAAAGCCCGCGGGCGAACACGAAGAGATTCCTACTTTAAAATATCATTTAATGGTTATAAATGTTTGTTAATTTTTTTTTAAATTATTTTTGGTTTGTTATTTCACAATTAAAATATAATTTAAAGATATTGATTTCTTACAAGGGCTGGAGGGTCATGAATTACTTTAGAGAAAAATAGGCGCACGTCTAATCGATCCGTATTATGTTCCCAGCTCCTTCGAAGAACTGAATAGGAAGAACTAGAAGTATAACTTTTAGCAAATAAAATGGAGGGTGGTTGAGCCAGGATTCTCTATTTCTTTTCTTACACCTATGGTGTTGTTTTGATGCATACATACATACGAAGTTCTGTGATAAGTGCTCTATATGAATTCTGCTCGGATTCCTCAAACAACACTTTCCCCACCTCAGTTGGTGGTCGGTGGGTGCGAGAGTTTTCCCTAAACGTGTGTGTGTTCGTGTATGTCGGTGCCTTTGGGTGTTGTTACTGTTGTTGTTATTGTAGTCAGCGCTGTGCTTGTGCTGTTGACCGTGGCCGCGGTTACTGTTGTCGCTGTTGCAGTTGTTGCAGTTGTTGCTGCTGTTGTCATTTTATTGCTTTTGTGCCACTTCTTGACATAGGCCAACGGTATTTCGATCTGTATCTGTTGCGGTTCGTCATCGTCGTCATCACCGATGCCTACGTCAGCCCTGCCCTGCATATCGCCGCCATTGAAATCATGCCCAGCGCCAGGTTTGATCTCGAGCAAACGCTTGCCGATATACGACGGCAGTGGGAGTGGCGCCAACTGATGCATGCCACTGCCGGCAGCGCGTACTGGCGTCGAGTCAGTCAATTGCACGGACTGTTGGGTTGGCAGCAATTGCATTGAGGTGGATCGCTGCGGCGGTGTGCGCGTCACCGACAACAGCGAGTCATCCCGGCTGTATTATAAGCTGTCGACCAGTTGACTGGTACGCCTCGGTGGCTGGCTTGCGCTCAAGTAGTTCTCGGAGTAGACGCTTTTGGCGCGTGTGTCATAGCGCAGGCTGGAGCGTCGTATGTCGATGTCGAGCGGCAGACCGCGATCCCGCCACCAGTTGCAGAACAGGCATTGCAGGGTGTTGCGGAACGCCTCTCGAAACTCTCGGTTGAAGTAAGCGTATATGAGCGGGTTGAGCGTTGAATTGAAGTAGCCGATCCAGAATAGTATGGCGACTACAATGTCCGGCGCGGTTAAGTCGCATAGACTGGTGATGGTGTACCTGGAATGACGGGGAGAGTGGTAGAGTTTATTTTTGGCTTGCGCTAGTTGTGAGCAGTGTAACGGTAAATATAGTTTGAAAAAATTTCATTTCCATTTTTTGACAACAAAATTTTTTCAAGCAAACAAAAATATCGTCTTGTACAGAAAATCCTTTTAACAACTCTTTCGTTGACTCATTCTACTTGTTCCGGAATGTTAATAATGTTACAGAAAGTTAACTTTTTCTTTCTTCCTCCAGTGCACACGCTTTTAGCCAAAAGTGAAATTTGATACATTTCTAATTCAGTGAAATAGAAAGAAAGTTGCGAGTTTGAGAAGAATGCTCCGCTGACGCTTTACTCTTTTGCCACCAGCTTCCTTCGCATTTTCTGCCTTCCTTCGCTTCCTCTACGCAAACTGCAACAGGAAAGTAGTGCTTTTGATCGGTTTAAAAATGGCCAGCGGCCTTTTCGCTTCTTAGCGCCGTTTAAATAATTCAAAGTAAGTCGAGTGGAAGTTTTCTCGAATTCATTTAAAACAGCTGAAGTTGTTGTTGCAGAGTATTTTAATTACTGGAATGATGTTAGGCATAGAAGTGAGCACTGAAGTCTTCCCAAAGAGAGTAACTATCAAAGGAAATGAGTTTATAAAGATGACATAGCAAGTCTAATGGGATTATGAAAAACAAGCTCTATATGCACGAAGAGTATTTTTAGAGGAAATTCGTACAAAGAAAATTGTTCCAGTAGAAGAAAGCGTAGAGAAAGCGCGATGTGAAAAGAGGAAAATCGTACAACTTGGCTTAAATTGCGACAATCGAGCCTCCCATTGAACTAAGTGTCTCTGGGACTGCCTTTACTTTAGTATGAGTATTTGGAAAGTATGTGCTCGTGTATTCATACTGAGAGTCAGTCAATATGAAACTGATTTATTGTCTGAATATTATGTTGCTGCTTTGATTAATTCGCGTATTTTTGTCAAAAAACCCGTTTTGAGTTAGCAGGTGTGTAAGACACAATTAATGAGCTGTAAAATGGTATTATAAATTGTTATTGTTGTTGTTAAACTTGTTATTGGTATATTGCGATGGGTGAAAAGTTTCAGCCGAATTATGAGTGCGATTCGAGTCTTTTTCAATTACGATTCGCCCGCAAATGTACATAAGTAAGTACGTGATACGTGCCGTATTCAAAAAGAACGGATTAAAGGTAGTTGGAATTAACGCCACACACACTTACCAAAGGAAGAATGGCAGCCAACAGACGATGAACGTGCCCATAATGATGCCCAAAGTTCTCGCAGCCTTGTGTTCTCGTTTCATTTTGATTAAATGTTTGTCCTTTGTCGGTGTGTGGTCCTGCTCCACTTCGTGCAGCGTCAAAGTCTTCGACGAGCCGGAGCCGCTGAGCGCCTCACCTGGGGCAATCAAAGCAAACCGGTTAACATGGAAAAGAAAGCGAAACAAAATGGAACAAAAGATAAGCTTAAATTTAAATATTCGCGGCAGCTTAACAATGCAAGTACAATAAGTAGTTACGCCAAAACTTCCGATTCGCGATAATTTCGAACAAATTTTGGCATTTGGCGATTGGTCATCGAAGAGGAGGGAAATAGCAAACGAGCGGTTTGCCTGGAAGCTACACATAATTATGATGGCCAAAGGGGAAACCAGAAGCCACCCATTGGGAAGCGCCGTAGCCTCCCTTTATTTGTTTCGCTTGCCGTTAGCCATCGAGTTGTTTGTTTGTAGACTGTTAAGCCGTTACAAAATAAGGTGTTCGGAAAAAATGTTTGTAAACGCTAAGCGTTGAAGGTGCGCCTTACATGGCGAATATACGCCGTGCAGTACGGAGTATATGCTGCCGGCGTACTCCGTGTAGCTAACTGCTGGCCATATTTATCGCATACTGCTTGTAATATATCTTCGAAATATTTTGAGCCTGAAAAAGTTTGCCCATTAAATGTTGGCAGCGCACAAATGCGGCTCATATCGTGTAAGAAAATCACCTGGACATTAGCTAAAGAAAAACTCGCAGCAATGCTGCCTTGTGTTTACAAGCACACACGCCTGCTTGCACTCACTTAAAGAGTTATGAGGAGTACGGAAAACATTGGGTTTACTTTAGATGTGAGCATTTGATTGTGTTTGCAACTTGTAAGGCCGTACAGCTTCCACACAGCTTCGAAAATGTTTGGCATGAGGCAAATTTGAGTAGAAGTTTTGGTTTTCAGTCTTGCTGGAGGGAGCAAAAGGGACATTGACATACCTGTATTGTTGCTTACTCCCACGCTGGCGCGCGCATCCTCTGAGTGTCGGTGCATCAACATCGCGTTGCCTTGCCGCGCCATCATTTGCTTTTCCTGACGGTTGGCTTCGCGGAATATCGCCAAGTACGTGAAAATCATGATCGTGCATGGAATCCAGAAGGAGATCGAGCTCGAGATGACGCAGTACGGCTTATTGACGATGAACTCACAGCGATCGGGATGTCGTTTCACGTAGTTCTTGTGCTCTTCGGTCGTGTACCAACCGATGAATATGGGCAGGAAAGAGAGCAAAGCCGGCGAGACCCACGTGTTTATCAGCATGATGGTCACAACGCGTTTCGTCATATTGATCGGGTACTTGAGCGGCTTTACAATCGCATAGTATCTGCAGATGACAAATTGTAAAATAGAGATACAAGTAGGAAGAGTCAGTGAAATCACACAAAGAATGTTAATATAATCTCAGAGCAAAAAATACTAAAAATTTCRCATTCCATAGTTCCTTGCAAGAAGAAGAAGTGAGTGAAACTCACTTACGGTTGTAGCTTTATAATTAAATGGCCACAAAGTTGTTTGACATTTTCATTCAAGTTAAAGTGGTTAGTTGTATATTTATGCTAGCTTAACTGCCTCATGTTGAGTAAAGCATTTAAAGATTTGTTTTATGAGTATCTGATTTGTTGAACTTCTTGACTGAATGTAATGTTATGTATGTTTATATGTGTGTGCTAAATCGAAAGAAAAAAGACTTGAACATGAAAGTCATATTTTTCGTTGTCTTGTATCCTATGACGCATGTTGCAAGTGCGGCAGTTGTGCTGTCTTATGAATTGGCGTACTCCATTTCATTCCACTTACATCCATTTCGCTTGTGTACACATGCATGTGCAAGCGTATGTGTGTGTCAACATATGTGAGCACTTCAATTCGGTTAAGAAAATGATCTTCTTATTTACTTACTCCTCTTCCCCTATTTCGCCGCACTTTGGATGCGAATAGCTACAGCCCTGGCTCCGTACGAATGAGAGACATACTTTCACACACTTCAATGCCAATTCTGGTAGATATTTGACAAATATGCTAATAATAAATTCCGTGCTTTTTGACATATGTCTGAATGAAATTGAATTTTGATGAATGGGTGAATTTGGCGCGGATTTTTGATTGACATATGACAGCTGCTTGGACCCACTCCTGAATTGCGGTCAATTGTTTTCGGTTGTCAGTCTTTAGGCTACATCCATGACTTCGGGAAAGTCTTACTTTGGAAATATAGAGAACTTTAGTTTTGAAATAAATACAAATTGGTTAAAAAGGAAATTGCGCTAAATGGAAAAGACCATTGCGACAGAATTTCAGTGGGAAACAAATGATTATTTCACCCCTGTCCGCTCACTCCATCAAAATTAGCTAATTTGTGAATGTGAACAAATGGAATTTATCAGAACAAACCAAGTAGGTATTTTCTTTTTGATTTGGCAGACGTATTTTTGGCAAAAAATTTCAAGATTGCGCTGGTGGCTATGTTGAATCTGTAGTAATTGTTATTACGCTTCAATTTCATATCGAAGAAGTTTACTAATAAGCTTTATGTAGAAACAATCACCCCTATTTTGCGTACCCTGATGTTCTTGTGAATGAGAATTCTGACCATGCATAATCCAGCCTTTCGTAAGGTCAGCAGTCATTGTCACACTCACCTGTCCACCGATATGCAACACAGATGCAAAATGCTAGCGGTTGAGAAGTACACGTCCAAGCTGTTCCACAGATCGCAGACAAATATTCCGAAATTCCAACTGAAAAAGAAAAATATGGAAATTATAAATGTACACTTAACTTACACTTAAAAAGTTGAGGTTTCTTTAGTTTCAAACGAAAATACATTTGAATTTTAATTATGTGTTTATCTTTGTTGCATTCCAATTTGAAATAATTTTTTTTTTTTACATTTCCAAAGAATTGTAGCGATTAGGCTCAGATCATAACAAAACCATTATCTCAGCAATAAGCCACATTTGCTCCCAAGATGACTAGATGTTGACTATTACCAACTTTTAAATTTATTAGTGTAGAATGGAATTACATACAAAATACAAACTAAAATGTCATCACAAAATGATAATTAGTGGATGAGTAGAGTACCGATAAAAAATTAATTACTGGCGTTTTCCTCGAGGTTACGTATACGCAGTGTATATCGAATAAAATGAATTATTGCACGAAGTTTGTAACATCCAGAAGAAACAAAATCAAGTTCTTGCAAAGAATCTTTTGTATGTGTGAAGGGTATTATAACTTCGATGCAACCGAAACTAACGATTAATTTTTTTCAATATGCGTAAAAAACCAAATTATTTTAAAACTTAAATAACTTATTAATAAAATGTTTCTTCCTCCTTAAAGCTGCTAGTTGGAGGGCTTTGTTCTGGTGCTTCTATTGTAGGATATGCTTTCAAAATGGATTACACTCAACCTGAAATAACATTTGACTGATTGAATCACCACTACAAAATCAGTCCCTCTACATTCCATTCACAAAAAAAAAAAAGAATTAATATTGTTTATTTCAGTTCTATTACTATAGTTCGATATGTTCAATTGGTGACTACAACTGATCTTCCTTCACTTTTTGCTTGGTTTTAGTCTACGCCTTTTTCTTCGTGTACCTTGTCCCTTCTATTTTCTTTTCATTTCCACTTCCTACGATCACGCAATCACATTTGCCACTTCACACATCCCGTTAGTTGGAATCACTTCGCCAATTCCAGTTTCGGGTATTTTTTTCTAAAATTTTGGCTAAGAAATATTTTTATGACTATATTCATTATGTCACTGCAATTTCAACCCCACTTGCAGCTGAAAGTGATAGTTTTATATTCTCACGCTTTTGGAGAATTCCCAACAATGTCATAATCATTTAATTTGCCAAAGTTCTCAAGCACGGCAAAGCCCGCGCTGAATTTTGTGCACGGCGCGTCTCACAACCAGCGTGTCCTTCCTGTGGCTGCCCCCTTCTTCCCCATTGCACATATTACCCCCTCAATTTGCATTCTTATACTCGATGGAGTCAGACCAGCATGTACGTACAACTCATTATCTGCGATCTATAGCACTGTTTCCGCGAAATGAACGAGAATCGCATGAAAGTCAAAAAACAAAGCAAACAAAAAGTGGCGATAAACCAAATTGTACGAGCGAAAAGTTTAAGGACTGTTTGGAAAAAAGTTGGCGCAGTCTGAAATGCAAAAGCAACCGGAGGAATTGGGTCGCTGCAAACGGTGCCAAAGAACGCACACATACGTTGTCTTACTTAAAGGTGTGTGTGCGTGCACGTATGTGCATCCGAACTACTACCAAAGGCTCGATTGCAAGAACACGTTCCGACATTTTCGTTTTTAGTGCCCGCGCATTCATCACCTGGCGACAAGCAGGTGCTGATTACTTGAACGTATATAAAGCTTGAGGAAATAGAAAGGCGAACGCGGGCAAATAACATTCTCCTAACGTAGACAATGGCATTTAACGCGATTTGATGCACAAGACACTTCACAGTATGTGTGAGCCAAGTGTGCTGTGTTCAGGTACGATCTTGTGGGGGTCTCGGTAATGGCATATGAAGTCTAGCAAAAATTTCTTTGACTGCTGTCAGCGACGTGCCAATGCTTTGATAATAAATTTGCCTGGCAAGGAGGCAATGTGTGTATCTATGACACATCGCAAGAAGTTAGTGTTGATTTAAGTCAGTTTTAATTGGGTCGCAGGTTGTAATATCACCAGTGCTGATAACGTTGCTCAGCCTGTGCGCCTATGTTTTTAACAGACTTATGTGACTGGTCGGGCTGTCAGCCGAGGCCAAAATGTGTGCCAAATTTTAGGCTTATCGGCGGATTTATCGTCAGCTAAGTTTATAAACACCTGTATTATTTCATGCGATAATGTGTAAGCGAGTAACTGTGGTCGCCTATCGGTGATAACTGGAATTGTGAGAAATGTGTTTCTAACAGTCAATAAATTTCTGAGTATTTAGTAGGTATATCACGGTTCTAAATTTCCTGAATATCAGACACGGGAAGCACGAGATCTGTAAACAACAAAAAGTTTGTAGTTCACAGGAGCATTTAAAATCAAATAAACAACCAGAAAACCCGTAAACTTCGATTGCACCGAAGCTATAATGTTGGACTATTGGGATTGTCAGGGATTCATGTCGCTTAGTGATGTTAAAAGAAAACATATTTGCCTTGAAACACTGGACTAAACAATTCCAAACCGAAAGCAGCGACACAGTGCTTCTAATGGTGAATTGGTGTCCTTGTATCACAACTTAAAGCTCGTTTGTCACATATTCACGAGCAGGTTTCCTTTTGGTGGGTGTGTTGGTAGTCGTGTGTCACTGTTGGTATGTTTTAAAGGACCTTCGCTTGCGCTTGCATAGCTGTGTGGGATGGGGGGGAAATTGTATAGGAAGTACTTGCAGCTGTTTGCAATTTGAATTTTTAATTTCGCAGCGCCAACCCGACGACTTTGCGTCGCGAGCGCATGTGTTGGGATTGCTCTGAGATGTTGTGCAAAGTGTTGTCTGAAAGCGTTGAGAATCTGCGATAAAAGTTATGAATGCAACATGAAAGTTTCGTAAACACGGCGGGCTGCGGTGCAAATGAGTGTTCTGCCTAAGCATACAGGGGCACAGTTACCAAGGTTGCCAACGGAGTTTTGAGATGCTAGATCCGTATCAGTACGGAAGTTTCTCTCGTTTTCAAAATTACTTGCAATTGAAGAAAATAATTTTAATAAAAAAACGTTGCTTTTGAAATATGTTCAGAGTTAAGTAATCGCTTTTCTGAGACACCTGCAAGGATCCGAAAAACTGAAACATGTGGCAAGCCTGTTGGCCTACTTTGGCGCTAACTGTACTTAAGTACACACACAAATAAGCAAGCGGTGCGGCAATTAAATATTATATGTAATTAAACTTTTCTCAAATATTATTTGGATTTTAAAACTTTGTTGATTGCGGCAATTCCACTGCGCTAAGCCAAATTACACGTAAGCTAATTTAAGTAGCAGCTAAGTTAGATTAGGACATGGAAAGTTAGAGAATTTGAAGACACACATTTACTTTTCGAAATCCACGTGTGCTTCATTATAAACGGAATCAAAATTTTACTTCTCGCAAGTTGGAGAAAAACTTTCTGGTGCCAGTATTTAATTATGCTAATTATAAGTCTGCAGAACAGATTGAATTGATACAGACTATGTTCAGAGGACGAAAACTGAAACTTCAGGGAGCATTTGCACAAAAAAAAAAAAAATTCAACTTCAGAAATAACGGACGCCTTACTTATATATCTATACTTCATCACCACAGAAAACTGAAATGGAGGTTGGTATTTCCATATCATCCGCTATATTCACCTCACTAGTGCACTTAAAAATATCAGAATAACTGTCTATTAATTCCAGTTAGCATTCTCAACTCTTGAGTGTTTCACAAGAAAAGTCCTAGATAAAACTTAGGGTTTTTCCTCTATTGCCGCATCTACTTATATTAAGATGCAATTTTTTATTTCTTGTAGACTATGAGTCAGCAAAATCTTAAACTTTAGTACGAAACGAAGTTTTTTCTTGTACATTTCCGCACCCGGGTAGATGGCATAGAGCCGCGAAATGAAGCAGAAATGAAAAGAAGGATTCAAGATGGATTTATATATCTGTTATAGCTCTTTCGTTAGTCATTCAGTTTTTGTACACTTTAATTTTAAAAGAAAAATAAACGAGATTTCAGAGGTCACTGCTGTGGCAACATAAAATCTGAGCCGACAATTGCCACTCATACTTTCAACCCGCACTTCTTGTAATTGTTATTCTTACTTACCGCCCAGTTACTTGAACGCTGAAGTTGAACGTCATAGCCATCATAGCCACCATTATGTCGGCCATAGCCAGCGACACGACGAAGTAATTTGTTATAATTCTGCAAAGACAAGGCAAGGGTAAATAAATAATAAATCCATAAAGCGTATTCAGTAAACAAATAAATATATACTTGATATCAGTTCATAGTATTTTCCTGAGGACCGTTTGAGGTTCTCAGTAAGTCGCGCTTTAATAGACGGTTTAATATTTAAAACAAACGTATAAAATGTGGGAGAGGGAAAATTAAGAAAGAATTCTGATGGATGTAGCTTGAAGTGCGTTGTTAATGAGCTCAGAAACGCATGCCGTCACGCACTTCGCTATCTTCACAAGAGAGAGTAGATCATATCATCAACTACCCAACAAGCGGCTCAAGCGGTACCCTATTCCCTACAATATTCTTATTCTCGGAATCCAGTCATATTTTCCCACAATGTTAAAAGTCTTGTGATGCTGAAGTTTTATGCTACATTCTAACTTTTATATCTTAAATATAATGTATTGCATAAGAGGGAAAAATCCAGTAAAGACTAATAAAAGTGTTTAATTGCTAAAGCTTCTCATGAAAACTTTTTCATTTAAAGTGCGGAATTATTAAAACGCGTAAGAGACACATTTCATCTTGAAAATCTTTATAAAATTTCCATAAACTTGATCCCGCGTGCCAAGTCTCTTTGATCACAAACAATGGCCGATCTGCAGATAGTGTATTGTTGTTGTTATTTGTTGGCATTTTCCGGACATGGAAAATGAAATATTAATATTTATTTATTTTTTCGCTACTGATTAATTTTTAGCAAATTTTTTATAAGTATACAAATGCGCACACACGTTGAACGACACGACGACGACGTTGCCTTGAATGTTTCACCAGATTTGAAAAACGATTTGCTGCTGGCACTCGACGTTTCGTGAATTTGGCAAAATTTGAATTTTAAGAATTTCAATTGGTTATTTTTAGCTGTTAGAATCGTGTGCTGAAATGTGTGAATATTGTAATAATAATTACTGTATATCTATGCATGCTGTAATAGCAGTTATGCCATGTCACTGTAGTAGAAATTATGGACTCTTAACAAAACAATATGAAATAGGTTCAGAAATATGAAGAAAATTAATATTGCTTTGCATAAAGCTGAGGCAAATTTTTTTAGCTGCTTAATTATCTTTGTAAGTAAGTTGTACACGTATTACAGTCAATACCCGAATGTGTGTGTATATAAAATTCAACATGAGAACCTGCACAGCTGAACAGTACTGCGGGGGAATTATGCGAGTTGTTGAATGAGTTTCGCTGAAGGAAAGGATGCTCCTTTGAAACCATGTTTCATTGTTCTGAGTTCATTTAAAGAGCCAAAACCCTGAAAGCTTCACCACCAACAAATTATTGCAATATAAAATGTTAGTCCTATACATAACGGAAGTAATACAGAGTTCGATACCAGTGTAGCAAATAGGCGAAAATTCAGAAAAAATGTACGGTGCACACTTGTCTTCCACATACTCGTCATGCCAATGATTTATGTAATTCATAAGAGCAGAGGTGTGGCAAAGATGAAAGCAAATACAGGTACAAAGCAAGCAAACGCATTGCAAGAAAGTAATAAATGAATTGATGAAAGAGAACCGAAGCTGAGACAAGAAACCGCCACCACCCACGAAATCTAATCGGCTACATTAATTATCCTTTACGACGCGTTCGGCAAGCCGTAAACAGCTAGCTCATTTTCCGTTTTGCTATTCTTTGTTTCGGCCTTCTGGCTGCATCCAATACCAATATTTACTTCAGCCGCTGAATTTTCTTTCCTAAATGGAATTTGGCCTTTGAATTTGCCTGCGCTCGTTCCATTCCATCGCTTAAATCCTGTGTGTGTTTCGGAGACAGCACACATAAAATAAGCCTCCGACCCGCCGCACCCATGGCGAATCAGCCACTTAGCCATCGAAGCGCGCTTAAGGCGTTGCCTGACTACCGCTGCAGCTTTAATAAGCGAAATTGTGAGCGTTGCTGAGAGATGCTGAAAAGTTTCATTCTGAGATGGCAAGTGTCTTTGAGGTCTTTAGTATCAATGTGGAAGTGTGTAAGCGTTATTTTGCTTTGTTAATTAACGCTAATGTGACGCGCTTGTCGACGAATTAAATTTCGGTCCGAAAATAGGCAACTGCATCTTTGAAAGGCGATCCCAACTAATTACTCAATAAAGATTTTCAATAAATGGCGGCCTTGATGAATACTCACGCAAGAAAATGTGCAAATAATTATTTTAATTTCTATCTCATCTCCTGTCTGATTGCTAGTAAAGGACGGATATAGAAATTTGGCATTATTCAATGTTTTGCGCTTTAGCAATCGGCTAATGAACTTATGAGGTCATTGCATTAAAATGGCTAACCAAAGCTAGCTATAGCGATTTGGTTAACTCCCTATCCAAGTTACTTATTGTATTTTTTGATGGAAAACTTTACGCAAGACCTGTTACTATTGCTGTCCCACATTCTCTAATGCAATTTCATTTAATTTAGTCAAAGGCTTGCGCTTCGTGTTGAAAATGAAACAAACAGACACATTAGATATTTACTTACCTTAATTTTCTAACTCGCATCACAGAAATAATGACAAGAAGGTTTCCGAAAATGGCCGCAATTATGATGAAGAGCATTAGCGACGCCTTGAACACCAAGTACACAACATCGAACCATTCGCTGCTATTCGCGACATCGTTGATGCCCTCCACACCATCGGCGCCAGAGTCGTCCAGCAGCGTGAAATTGCTCGGCGTCATGGTGACGCCTGCTGAGCCCAGCAACGTGGAAGTGGCGTTGGAGTCCAGCTGTGAGAGCATGCCGCTATCCAGCACGGCCTGCGCCTGGGGCGTCTGGTGCTTGGCAGCGGCGCTAAGTTGCGTTTGAGGCTGTGTTGAGGCAGCGGCTGCAACTGCAACGCTGGTGTGGAGGAGAGCGGTCGCAAAGGCCGTGCTCAGGTTGAAGCCGAGGCTAGCGGCGCGAGCACGCGGCAACGTTGTTGTCATGTTATGGGCCTCAGCTGTTGTTGGTGTTGTCGCTATAGTTGCGCGCCGCTGACAGTGAAGTCTTCGTTGGTGCATGGTGGCTGCACTAGTGGCCGCTGCAGCTGATGGTGTTGCTGGTGTTGTTGCCGCCGGGGCAGATGATAATCGCGGCGGCGGTGGTGTTGTGGTTGCTGTGCATGACACTGCGGTCCTTGTGGCAAGTTGCGGCACTGCCGCACGCATTGTCGTTGCAGGTATTGTTGCTGTGGTTATTCTTGTTGTTATTGCTGCCATTGCCGCCGTTGTTGTTGGAGGCGCAGTCGTTGGCGTTGGGAAGTCGGCATAATTTGCCAATTTGCTCGTTGCAATTCGTGTTGTTGTTGTGGCATTAGATGCCACACGATTTCTGTTGCACTGTTCAAGTTCACTGCACAAATTTCGTCTTTTTCGACGCGTTGCGAATGCGTTGTTAGTTCTTTTCACTGTTTGACTGATTGCGGTTTGGTTGGATGTTGTTGTTACAGTTAATGGAAGCATTGTTGGAGTATTGGTAGACATGTTGTTTCACGCTTTTCGCACAAATATTTCGACTTGTTTTTTCTTTCAAATATCTATTGCACTTTATTCACTATTTATGAACAAACCACATCTTTCCTTCATTTAATTTAATTTTACTTCATTTTTATTAAATCAGTGCGAAGCGATTGAAGCGCGTTGAGGGCTTTGCTTTTTTAATTAATTTGCAATTTACTAGAATTCCACTACAATATATTTTCTGAAATGGTATTAATTGTGTGTCTTTTTTTTTAATACAATAATTTACTGTTATCACTTGTGCCGTTCGATTGTCGCCGACGAGCTACCGCAGAAGAAAGAACAAATGTTCGCTGATGGAACGCGCGGTTCGCTTTCTACGCCCCGAACTGTACTGCAGGCAGCATGGTGGAAAGTGGTCTGTCGACCGTCCACCGTCGGCCGTCGGCCTGTCCTGGTCGTTGTGTCACACGTCACCAGCGCTGCCAGTCGTGCCGACGCGCCCTCACCGCCATCGCAGTCCATCCACCATCAACAACACCAACGCCAGAAATCTTTGGCTTTTTGTTGTCGTTTTTGTTATTTATGTGATTTGTGCTTGTTCTTGTTGTTGTATAGTGTTGTTGATAAACTGTTGTTTGTAGTTGTCACCGTCACCGTCACCTTCACCGCGAACGTGGCTAGGTTGCGGCTAGGCGAGGCGCTGGATGTTGTCGGCCCTGTTGTGTTATTGTTGTTGTTGCTAATTGTTGTTTTCTTTCTTATGCTATGATGATTTGCGGTGTATTTTTTGTTTTTGTTTTTGTTTTTATTTTGTATTTTTGTTTTTTTTTGTTGCTTTTAATGATCACTGTCTCTTGGCCACTACTTGATTGCTCTTAATATTTTAATTTTATTGTTGTGCTTTGTTTCTTGGTTTTGTTGTAGTCGTTTTCGTGTTATATGTGAATGAATGTGGCGTTTTACTGAAATTGAAAATTTGTTTTGTCTTTTTCGCATTTGTCTTGTCCTCTTTTCTTGCATTTGCCGAAGCGGTTTGTCTTTTCTGATTTTCTTTTTCAAATGTGCATAAATAAATAAAAAATATACGTTCGTACATTAAGCATTTCCTAGTTTTTGGTTTTGTTATAAAAATTGTAAATTGTATATCAATGTTGCACTTCTGCAGGCTTCTTTCGGCGTATGTTGTCTAGCAACAACAGTGCTCTTCTACACCTTTCTTGCGAAAGCAGAAGCAGCAAATCCATACTTTTTGGACTTTCAGAGAAAGACTGCTTTCACATCTTTAAGGGCAAGATATTTCGGTATCTGAATGGACGATCATGTGGCCTAATTTATAAGATGCCTTTCGAATACCCGAAATATCTGCTGAGAGGTCCATCAGTTGAAATCAGTATGCTGTCCAGAAGAGGATATGAAAGTGGTGGCGGATGGATACCTTCATTTCGATAAGATTAGTCTAGAAAAGTGTGGACGTGCTCACCCACAAATCATTTGGTGTACCGTTATAGATGTACATCAGTTTCAAACATTATTAAAGGAAGCTTACCGTCTATAGTTCGGTTATCAGTACAAAGCTTTCTTTCGAAATCTTTGTTGCCTTGTTGGTGGCTGATATAACGAATATTAAGCCAAATAAATTAAAATCACACAAATAACATCTAAAGGAGATCGCGCCTCGACAATAGTATGATTTTGAACTGATCTCTAACTATATAATTGACTTTCAAAAGTATCTCCAGCAGCACCCTGTTCGCCTGTGCATTGATTTATTCTGGGCAGATGCGCAAATCATATGCATGCCCTGGCACTTGCCTAGCAGCGGACAGCACTTCGCCACACGAACGCGTCGATGCGTCAAATGAAGCTCCCGGCGTGGGACAGCGCTACGTATACGCGGTCAAAAGCGTTTGTCGATTTGGGCGCCGCTGACTGGCGGAGTGTCAGAATGCCATGTCGTGCTTTGCTATTTTCTTTTTTATAAACTCACACGTTTTGGCGCAGCGTTGCTGAGCTATTTTTACACATAAACACACATCCACACCATACATACAAGCATTTACATTTTGTAATATTTTGATATAACGGTTTTCCACGCTCTGATATTTGTACTGCCACACACACACACACACACACACACACACACAAATGTTATGAGCACTTGAAAATTCAATAAAAATACAGCAAAAATACCGCAAGACTTTTTTGACAAACTAATATATGGTATATTTTTGTATATTAAATCTGTTGTGTGTGTCCATGTGCTCATAGGTTTATTTGGTTGTCGGTACTTAAGTGACACTTCAATCATTTGCCGTTTGCTCAAAAAAAATATTGTTTCGTTGCCTCACTAATTGAAAGAAAAAAACGCCGCCGCCAGCAGCGCTGCACCCAGTTTCACATCGTTGCTCTTGCATTCGTTTAATGTATGAATTTAAATGGATGATTTTTACTTAAGCTCGATTATGACAATGTTGACTTTAAGTGCCAGAGTTCTGTCATCCAGCGGCGGAGTGTTCGCGTTCCTCCATCCAGCCTCACCATCCGCGCTGCTCGACAACGCGCGCCTTCTTTCCCCGGTCAGCAAATATAATATAACTTAGTAATTAAAGGACTTTGTCGCCGTGAAATGATTCTCAAAGCCAAGTGGCCATCGAAATTGCCGCACGAACGCACACAGAGACGAAAACAAAAACAAAATTCTAATCTGCGGGGCCTCCGCGCTAATAAAATGGTATTACAGGTAAACACACGCACATTTGCACACTTATCCATAAACATATGGACACATACAAAGGGGGAATAAAGAAATTGGGAAACGTTTCGTAGTTGTGGTTCTTGGATAATCTCTGCAGTTGATGCTTTAAGTTTCCGTTATTTCGTCTTGTAATATTATTAGCGATGGTTGTTGTTGCTGTTACTTTAGTCGTTGCTACACATTGATGCCATTACAACATATATGTATATGTCAGCGCGCTTGTCCAATAATTGTAGTGATTCCCTGCGGCCACTGCTTTCGCCTTCTCTTTCACTTCGTTTGCCTCCTCTAATCGCCATTATCATCGGCATTGGCATCGGCATCGTAATTAAGCATTTGGCCATTCGTAGCATAGCATGGCACATAGAACAGCAGAGCATAGCAGTCGCTAATATTATACTTGATTCTTGATTATTTTGGCAGCCGTCCAAGGTGTTGGCGTACTAGAAGAAAAAGAAGGGAAAGAGAGAAAGAGAACAGTTCAGAAAATGCTATTAATAAATTATATTATTAATTATTTTATAAGTCACATAAATACAACCATGCAACATTTTATAAAAACACTACGCTAAAGGTTTGAATGTGGTTTGAGTCTGTTGGACCAACTGCCGCTGGCCAATAAATTCTAAATCTAAAAGGAAACGAAAGAACGAAGCAAGCGCTTACAGAGTGCCTGGTCAACAAAGAATTTTGACATTTGAATTTGGGTGAAATATCCAGAAATAAAACATATACAAATCTATTTGTCTACATAAATATTCCTACAGTGAACCCTCCACAATCGATGCTTAAAGTAAGGTTGCAGCGTGAAGTGTTTAGTAACTCTGTTTGTTCCCTTTGATATTTGCTCAGTTTTGGTTTTCATTCGATTGAAAGTAGACCTCAAAATGTGCCCACAATCCAGGGTGATTAATTTTGGCCTCATCAGTGTAAATTGCTTAAATTGCGAAATTTCGTTTTACGCAAAACATTTCACACATACATACGTACGTCTGTGGTATATTTTTGTCACTCGCGCTTTGTATTCAAGCACACATGCGCATAAATCTGTTATTTGTTATTATAATTATTTATTTATGAAATCTGTATCGCATTGCTCTTTTGGAAAAGTGCTAATAATTTTGGATTAGCTTAGTTAAGCAAAATTAGAGTGTTAGAAAAGCTGATATAATAAGAACGGCAACGCTGTAATATTTTAAATGTGAAGTTTGAAAATATCGCCGTTATCAGGTGAGATTTGAATAAGCCCATGGGCTTAGAGACCAGACCAGATCGGTTCTTTGTATACAGGATGTTATTGTACGTGAACAGGGTTCGCTTTACACCTAATATTCTTAAGCATTTGAAAAATAAACTGAGTTCTTAACTTTAAAATAAATATATATTTGACAATGGCTTAAGAAGAGGGCCGCAGTAGCTTAGCTACTTCACTAAGCGACTCCGTTCTAAATTTTATTGCAAAGCCAAACAGAAGTGTTAATATTAGCCTTATTTTCTGTGCAAGTGTCATAAGCTGTTGAATCAAATGCAGATCTATAATAATAACTATTATTTTAATTGATACACACACACCCCTCACTAAGAGAACTGTATCAATATTCGAGTGTGCTGTTGTATGTTCAAGTCGAAAGACACATCTAAAATGCATTATCCCAAGTGAATGCACAAACATACAAACGTGCATATGTTCACACAGCAGAATGCATACAAACACAGAAAGGTGTATGTATGTTTGGGTGTGCAAGTGTCAATATTGAGGTAAAAGTGGATAAACCGTCGAATTGCAATGCAAATAGCCTTGCGTGCGTTCAAGTGCAATGCCAGGCGAGCGGCAATTTGGCAGCTGCCAAGGAAGCGGCGTGATGCGCGTACGTACGCGCGGCGGCGCTGACGCAGCTACTCACCGTTGGCACTCGCTGTTGCCATTGTCAATGGCATTGCTCGAAATGTGTGCGCGTGTATGTGTGTGTTGGTATGAGAGTGGGATAATTTATCTTCCACAATTCTTATTTTAAATTGGGGCGTTTTGCTTGGCTTATTGTTGTACTGTGTGAAAATGCGAATTTCAGAAATGCCACTTTGTGAAAGTGCTCAACGTTGTTTCGCTTCTTCGCAGATGAAATATGCATTCTTTGTCAACATTAATATATATTTCGTATATTTTCCGAGTGCGAGCTTACTCAAGGACACGCCCACCTGCTACTAATGGCAAACATGAACTCGTATGTATTAGTGGCAAGATGATGTTGGTGTGTGTTGGTGATGTTTTTTGTAGAGCAACGCATGCCTTCAACGTGAAATGCTTTATATTCTTTTAGAAATGTTTATTAGAAGAATTTCCTTGTGGAGACAAGCGGAAGTATCACTCTGCCTAAACACCGTACGAAAGCGCCCTATTTTTCTCAAATTCGCTTGGAAGTTACTTCATTGCCTGCAGGTGCTGTAAATAACTTGATCAGTCTCGCAACATCTTTTTGATCAAGAGCAAATTAGAAGAGCATTATTTCGAGCATCTATAAATTTTACACGACTTTAGAAGCAACTATGGAACTCTGATAGTCGTTCTTCTCAATACACTTAAGAGTGTATTCCATAGGAAAGAAAAAATTAAAAAAAAAGCGCTTGTACGCACTGCCGTGCCATTGATTAGCGCATTTTCAGCCTCACAACCGATCAGCTTCCTTTTGGTTGTCATGACTAGCCATTTTCGAGCAGTTTGCCAATTTCAAGTGGCCCCATTACTTGTTAAAAGTTTGCGCGCTGAAAATGTTTTCATTTCATTAAAATACACATTTACGCGTGTGAATATGCTTGTGTATGTGTGTGTGTGTTAATTGAGTGATGGATGGACAGTAAACACATACTTGCCTTAATATTTGCATATACTATATAACGCATATTTGAAATTTATCGAGACTAAAAGATAAACATTATGCGAGCTTTTAACAAGTAATTTGCTTTAAAATCCAAATATTGGCAATTGAAAATAAACTTTACAGTCAGCTCGGTGTTTTACACAATATTCCATTTAATTGATTTGCTCGAAAAGTATTATGAAACGCAAATATCTCTCGGCCAATGAAAACTCACAGATTTATTCTGAAATATTGCAATGTCTTATATTCTACCTGCTGGTAGACGAGTATTTGTTTGTTTGTGTTGTATACTTGCCAAATATTCACTCTCCGCTTGAGATATTATGTACAAAGCATAGTTTTAGGCGCTTTTAGCATATTCATTTTTTTACAATTTTCTTTTG